AGGGAGAGGAGCTCCTGCTTGGGGTCTCAATCCACCAGCGGTTTCATACAGACTCACTTCAGTTCCCTGACAGGCTCGGCAGGAGGCAGCAGTATGGTCCACTGCTTGGATCAGGGGCCAGAACTTCCTGGGTTCTTTTCTGAGCAGAGATGGTTTATCTGGTCAATGGGTCTAGTGGTTAGAGCAAGGAGAGGCTAAGAGGCAGGACTCCTGGGTTCTAGTCCCAATTCTAGGAAGGAAGTGGATGTCTAGTGGGTAGAGCTGGTCAAGAAGCCAAGCTCCTGGGTTCTATTCTTAGCCCTGCTGCCAGATGACTTGTAGAGAGTCCTCCGCATCCCTTCCGTGCTTCAGTTTCAGGGCCGTCCTTAGGCATACGCAGAGTATGCAATCGCGTAGGGCACCACGCTTTCTGGGACACCACTCTGCCAGCCCGGGACGGAGGGGAAGCACAGGCGTGCACTCTGCACCGGAGCCAGTAGGGGCGCTGCCAGCACTTACGGCTCCGCCAGAAGACCCCACTGGGCCGAGGGACTCCGGCGAGGAGGCCGGCAAGCTGACCCCGGCTGAAGAAGGGAAGCTGTCAGCCCGGGCGGCAGCGTCGGGAGGAGCCAGGGGTGCGCTGGGGGCGGGGTGTTTGCGTTTTTAAAAATGGCCAAGCTGTGCCTCGGAAGGAGACGTGCCAAGTGGGGTGCGGGGGAGCAGATTCTCGCTAGGGCGGGACCGGCCGTGTTGTGATGGGCCGGGGCTGTGAGCGCTGAGCAGCCCAGCTCCGGCTCTGGCTCTGGCACATGGTCTGGAGCCTGGGCTGCAGGGACTTCTGGGGCCCGATTGCAGCAGACTCCAGCCCTGCAAACGGGAAGGCAGAAGGCAGGCGAGGGCGAGGGGGAAAATAGGGGGAAGGGATGGGAGAGGAAGGTGCTTGTGCTGAGGGGAGGGGGGCAGGTCAGGAGGAGAAGAAAGGGGAAGGCACCAAGGGAGGGATGGAGGAGAGACAAATGCCAAGGGGGCAAGTGGAAACAATGAAGAAAAGGGCAGGAGGGAAGGTGTCAGTGGGAGGGGAGACAGGGTGATACTGGGAGAGGAGAGGAGAGGAGAGGGGAAGGTTATTGGGGACTAGAGGCGGGAGGTGCTGGGAGAAGGCTTGAAAGAAGGGGTAGGGATGGAGCAAGTCATGTTTGAGGGCAGAGAAGGGTGTGAGGGGAATGGGGGCAAAGAGTGGTGAGGGGGTGGGCATCAGGGAAAAAGAAGGCAAAGGGGGCAGGGGCAGTGAGGGAAGGGGGAGGCACCAGGAGGGTGCAGGGCTAAGGGAAGGTGCAGGTGCCAGGGGATTCTGGGGGTGAAGCAGAAGGGCAGACACCTGCAGGGGAGGGACCAGCACCACAGGAGAGAGGCAGGGCAGGTGTGTAGAGGGAGGTGTTAGGAGAGGGGATGAGGAGGGGTAGCTCACATGAGCAGAGTGGGGCTACTGGAGGAGTGGGCTCAGGGGGGAGAGAAGGGCTGGTGGAGGGGGGCAGGTTTCAGGAAGGCTGAGGGCAGTGAGAAGGGCAGGAGTCAGGACAGCAGAGGAGGGTGAGGGGTTGGGAGGCAGCAGGCACCAGGGGAGCTGATGGAGCAAGGGGAGGAGACATGGCAGCAGTGGGAAAGGGTAGAGGTTTATAAGATATTTATTAATAACTTGAGTGTCACATCCAAAAAAGCCACATGAACTCAGTACTGGTGCACAACACAAAATTCATTTTGCTCATGGGAGGAATCTCTTAGAGGCAACACTTCCCCCAGCCTCTATGCCCCTGAATTAATGTCACCCACATTGGGTTAATGCAATTGCAGGATACTTGCATGAAGGGGGTTTGGTGGGGGCCAATCTAATCCCTATTGGTAGGAGGATGGTTGGAAAAGTCCTTGCGGAGGGACGGGGGAGTCCCATGACACCTTTTACTTTTGGTCATGTGTCCATCTTGCCCCGAGAGTGTTGCCTCCAGAGGCGTGGCTAATGGGGGCCAGGGGTGTGGCTAATGGGGGTCAGGGGTGTGGCTAATGGGGGTCAAAGTACATTAAACAAATTCTTTGGGTGCACACCCTAATGAAATGTGCTGTGCACGCCTATGACAGGAAGCAGTGGAGCATGTAACAGCAGGGCTGGGTCCTAGAGAGAGCCGAATGCACTGCCTGCAGCACAGTCTGAGGGAGGGGATTGGCTGCTGTGGTCTCTGGGAAGGGGAGGGAGTAGGGGGTGGAAGAGCAAGTCAGTCATAGGGGCACCAGTTTAATAATTTCGCGTAGGGCACCATAAATCCTAAGGACAGCCCTGTTCAGTTTCCCCCCATGAAATGAGAACAATAGACCCTCATTCCATTCAACAAATGAAGATTGTGAGAAGGCTGCGCCTACAAATGGATGTAGCGATGCAGTGGGGGTCCAGACCCCTGGAATCAAAGCTAATCTGGGCCAGGCTCAGCTAAGAATGCACAACATGTGAGCGGCCGTGTGTATTTCAGGGATGAAATGAGACCTGAAGCCAGATGTAGGGTGTAGGGGGGTCCCTGTAAACAACTGGGTCCCAAACTCAGATTTCTGGGAGCCCTGTCAGAAGTGCAAAATGTGACGGCTCCCCCAGATGCAATCACATTTTCTAACAGGGGTGGACATGGTGGGACCCCTCAGAGCCCAGCATGCACAGGTACAGTTTCTGCTCTCTGTTATGACACTATTGATCCGGAGTTGCCCCAGAGGTAGAGGGAGCTAATCTGCATTTCTCCCAGCAAAACCAAAGCGCAGAAACTTCCCCAGACTCCGCCTGGCTCTGTCCCACCCAGGCCTCGCCCAGCAGTGGCTGTGCTCCATGCTGGCTATGTCTGGCAGGAGAGCTGCTCTTGGGCGAATCTTGTCATGAGGCGTGGCTGGGGAGTTCCAGTCTAGAGGTGACAGGAGAGCAGTGGGCGAGACAGAAATGGAGCAAGGAGAACAGGCGTGTCTCTTAGCTCAGGGCAGAGAGCAAATTCCTGCTTGACAACTTACTACCTTGGCTGTTTGGCCAGCCAGTTCCTGGGAAGCAGTCCACAGAACCCTGGGAGGTGAACGGCACCTTGCAAAACACTTGAGGATCCAGGTGTTTTGCAGCAGCACCAGGGAGATGCACACAGTTGTTCCTGAACGGAGCCTTTGGTGGCTGAGATAACCAGTCCCACTTTAGCTCTGGGAAAGCGGAGGCTCGGATGGGTGGGGGCTGGCTCGCCCACGGTTCTGCAGTGAGTCAGTGCTAGAGCTAGGAAACCAGATCTCCTGTTTTCCCAGAGTTGGAGTGGGCGGCACCATGTGGCCTCCATTGCACATGGGGCTGTACAGGAGCTGTCCCCACCCCAATGAACTGAGAGTTTAAGCACGGCCAAAGCAATGGTCGTTATCCCTGTTTTACAGATGGGGAAACTGAGGCCTAGGGTGATTTTTTTTTAAGTGATTTGCCACAAGGACACTCAGGGAGTCCATGACAGCCTGAGCGCTGGAACCCAGACACCCAGAGTCCCATGCCAGTGTCTTGATCACATAATTAAGGGGCATCCTCTGTCTTGAGTACCCAGAATCCCTGTTTGGCTCACCCCAAGGTAAGGGTTCCCGCTGTCCCGTGTGGGCTGGGCCACGTCTCGCTCTGGAGAAGGAGGTGGCGCCGTGGTTCTACGCTGTAGCCACCCCTCTGGCCCATTGGCGAGGGGCTGGCTGGTCTCACGTGCTGCCCTCACAGCTGTGTTTGTTCCTCGCAGCATGGCGCCAACGAGGATTGCGTGGATGGTGAGAATCGCACCCCTCTGCACTGGGCCGGTGAGTCGGAGACACAGGCTGGAGGGCTCAGCCCATCCGACCTAGTCCTGGTTAGAAGAGGAGTCTTCTAATGAGTCTGAGCTGTGCGGGACTCGGAACCAGGGGAAGACAGAACCTGGCTTGCTGGAGGGGGCTGGCTGGGGTTCCCCTCTATTGATCTTCTCATCGCTGTGCTAGAGAGACGGACACAGGGCTGGTGTCCCATAGGCACCTCTCGAACCTCTCTCTAGACCGCACCATCCCCAGACGTGTCTGTCTGTCTAGCCTAACTACCTGCTTGTCTGTCTTTCTGTCCCCCTACAGACTGCTGTCCCCACTCTCTATCCCTGGGTATGTGTCTGTGGATCCCCCTTCAATCTGTCTGTCTATCCGTATCTCAGTCCCCTTCCATCCCAGTCTGCCTGTGCATCTGTCTCTCCATCTCCTTCCTGAGCTAGGTTCCTGTCAGGCCCCGGTTCTCCCACGGGACCAAGGAGGGCAGTGTTGGCACTGGCTGTGTGGACCGGATGTTCCCAGGGGAAGGGACTTTCTTGCTTGCCTCTGGCGGCGTTGTGCAGCTGGTGTGCGCTTGAATCGCAGTCCTCTCGAAGGGAGGCTGACAATGCTCAGCACTTGCGTGTGTGTCTGTTGGGTGCTGCTATTGATGCTGCTATTGACTTAAGCGACAGACAACCAGGGGACAGAGGGACCACAAACAGGTTGATTGGAGCATGGGCAGAATACACCAACCCCTACTCGCTGCCCCAGTCCCTGGGATATGGGAGTGCAGGGATAGTGTGTGGGGAGCCAGACTGCCGGAGCAGCATCAGGGCAGTTTCAAGGAGAGGACCCCAGCGATTGGAGATAGAGCGAATCTATAGTGCCTGGTCCTGTCTCATTTCTAATCGAATGGTTCTCAACCAGGGTCTGGGCCAGTTTTCAGGGGTTCCTCCGAGCAGGGCCATCATTAGACTGCCCTGTTTGCCCTAATTCCAGTGCTGCCTTTTATAGGCAGAAAACCAGGTGTTGTGGCTGAAGATGGGCCAAGGGGCTTGGATAGTATGTTGGGATGGAGATGGGGGCTCAGAAGGACAAAGGTAGAGAAGCCCTGCTCTAGTCAACCCTGTTGGGCAAAGCTGCCTGGCTTGCCCCCGCCGGCTGTAAATATTTGCCCCCTCCCCTCAGGATGGGCCTTCCCAGCAGAGATGCCCTAACACGACGGTTTTCAAACGTTTTCGTTCTCATGACCCCGTTGAAGAAAATCATTGATGCTGCAACACAACAGAATGTGGCTGGAGTGCAGGATGAGGATGGAAGCTTTGGGTTGAGGGTGGGGGGGGCTCTGGCTTTGGGGAGGGTCAGGTCAGGCTAGGGCAGAAGGAGCTTACCTTGAGCAGCTCCCAGTCAGCGGTGGGGCTAAGGCAGCTTCCTGCCTCTCCTGGCACCGCAGACCATGCGCCCCGAGAAGCAGCCAGTTCCCAGCCAATGGAAATGCAGAGCTAGTGCTCAGGCCTCTGTGTGCTCTCCCCCATGCACATAGGAGCTGGGCCTGCTGCCGGCCACTTGTAGGACACAGCACAGTCTGCGGTGCCAGGACAGGCAGGGAGCTGCCTTATCACCCGCATGGCTCACCTGATCCTCCTGCAGCAACCAGACCCAGTGCCTGAAATGCCACCCCCCATCCCCCTAGCTTGGGAGATCTGTGGTTTTCACTCTCCTCATTCTGGGGGTTTAAACCCTGCCTGGGCTCACCCTGTCTGAAGAGCTGCCCTGTGCAGAGAACAAGAACAAGGCCCCAGCGGGTCTCCAGGGACGAAGGTCAGAATGGAGACTCCTTCCTTCAGCCCCTGAAAGGCCAATGCCCTAACCCTGCGCTTCTCAAACTGTGGGTCCTGACCCCCCCTCCCCGGGGGGGGCGGGAGCAACTTAGAGGGGGGGTTGCGCTATCACAAAGTTTGAGAACCCCTGCCCTAACCCTTAGGCCACTCCAGAAGCCACCCCACCTCCCCACAGTCAGGGTGTCCTTTATCTGGCCTTAATGATGGGGTAGCTGGGGGTGGGCAGGGCTCGAATCCAAAACCCTGGGGTCCCCACACGAATGCCCTAATCCCTAGGCCGCTGGAGAACTCACCCACCTCCCTACCGTCAGGGTGTCCCCTGCTGTGCTGGGCAGCCAGGGCCGATAGTGCCCCCTACACGTGGCAGCAGCCGGGTGTGTCCCTCGAGCGCTGACTGCTCCCTTTCCTCCTGCCCCGTAGCCTCCTCCGGATGCGCGTCCAGCGTCTTGCTCCTGTGTGACCATGAGGCCTTTCTGGATGTCACCGACAATGTGAGTATAACACCCCATGGGGACGGGGCCCGGCAGAAGGATGCTCACAAGAGGTGCAACTTGCCCCATAACTGCTGCGGGGGTTCAGAGAGCCAGCTCCCAGTCACTATGTGCTGGGAAGTCGCGCCAGGTCTGAATGGGACCTCTGCAAACATCCTCTGCCGCTCCTTGCAGAACGGACGCACACCCCTGATGATCGCGGCCATGGGAAACCATCCTGCCATCTGCTGCCAGCTGCTCCAGAGAGGGGCCAGCGGCAATCTCACCGACAAGGACCAGAAGTGAGTCTCTCCTGGGGTCTGAGAATAAACATAGCATCGGCACCAGGGGCATTGTGGGAGGTTTTCCCTGGGGATTTGGGGGGAGGATGTGGAGTTTCCCAAGGGCAGTGTGGGAATTTCCACCAGGGAATTAAGGGCAGTTGCCTAGAGCAGTGTTTCTCAATTTTACGTGGCCACGGAACTCTTTTAAACTCGAAAGAATTTTGCAGAACCCGTAATAACAGTCTTATATATAAAACGCTGAAAAAATAGACCACAAATAAGGAAGGATAATAATAAACAAATGCTAAAGAAGATCATGAGATCAACATTTAGTTGTAATGCACATCTTTAAAAACAAAAATCACATTTCATGTGTACAATTTTTTTTTTAAATCATAAAATGTTATTGTAATGAAATTTTCTCGCGGAAGCCTTATTTTCACCTTGCGGAACCCCAGGGTTCTGCGGAACACCATTTGGGAACACTGGCCTAGGGGCATTAGGGGCCTTCTCATCTCAGTATGGGACCTCGTCTGTCACCCACGGCCCCCAGGTTCCACGAGATGGCTGCCAAGGCCTCTCAGAATTTCCCAGAAGTCTCTGCTTCTGAGGGCTGCTGTGGGACCTATAAGACTGAGGGTTCAGGGGAACTAGCCTGTTGTAACAGGAGACTGGGGGCTGGGACCACCCAAGTGATGGGAGTCATGGCTGGGAGTTAGGGGCTTGCAGACAGCCTGCCCTTCCTGTAGGAATACTTGGGGAGGGGTCTGGGCTAGGCAACACTGGGCAGCCCCAGGAGGGATGGGCAGCCCCAGGAGGGGGGGGTCCCCTCCAGACAGGAAGGGTGGAGAACGGCTGCCCCACACTCCCGTACAGAGTGTGCCAAAGCAGAGATTGCTAGCTGAGGGGGAATCCACACACAGAGACTACCCAGGTGGCCTGACAGCAAAGGGCATCCATGGGGCTCCCCAGAAGTAACCCCCCATCCCCTACAGGACTGCTCTGATCCTGGCCTGTGAGAGCATCAGCGTGGAGTCGGCCGAGCTGCTGGTAAGCAGCGGGGTGGACCTCAGCGTGGTGGACAGGATGGGCCACGACGCCCTCCATTACGCCCTGCAGTCTCAGAGCCGCCCACTGAGGAGGCTGCTACGCAGCGCCCTGAAGAAGAGGAAGAGAAGGGGTGAGGATGGCGCCTATCTGGATTTGGGTCAGGAAGAGATTGGGGTGGGGGTCACCTTCCTCTGTGGCGTTGCTTTGCTGGTTTGAACTAGAGACACTGGCAGCTCTTCTATCACTTGAAATCTTTGCGCCAAGATTGGAGGACATCAGTCTCTCAGCCAGACGTCCCGGGCCTGGAGTGGGTGGGGAGCTTCTCGGGCAGGAGGTCAGACTGTGAGGGAGGGTCCCTTCTGGCCAGGAGTCCAGGAGTGGCACAGACAGCACCATGAGCAAAGATCAATGCAAGAGCCATGCTTAGGGCAGGACACTCTGGGGGCAATGCAAGAGCCATGCTTAGGGCAGGACACACTGAAGTCTGCTGCTAACGGGCTTGGGAGACCCTCTGCTGAGAGCCACTGGTGACATAATGACTTTATATTTATTCAGCAGCATTTGATTTCATTCCAAGATGCAGAAATGCCTCAGAAAACAGCAAAAATTGTGATTTTTTTCCAGCTTCCACCTCCAACATTGTGTCCCTAATATGTTTGTTTGGTGGGACTGCACCCAGCATTGCTGGGGCTGATATTGATTGCTTGGAGGGGTTTTTTGTTTTGTTTTGTTTTGGGGATTTTTTTAATGCTTATTTATATAGTTCATTTGCAAGGAGGTCTCCAGCTCCGGCAGCTTCTCCTGATGGTTTTGATCATTATAAGCAATAATCAGGTTTGGCGGGACTTGGCAAAATGTAATATCCTGCTTGCTAGGCTGTGGTTTCCATGGTGACCACCTTGTGGGTGAGGGACAAGGCCAGAGCCAAAAAATATACCATCGGAACTTTTCCAAAAGAAAGTTTTGTTGACAATA